ATTATTTCCTCTTTCATACCATTCATTTTTTGCATTTCCTCTAATTTTTCTCCTCTTAATCATTATTAATGTAATTGGTTTTAGACAGAAACATTATTTTTGTTCCTACTTATCTATGGTGCCTCGTGAAACACAGCTGACAGAAACCTTAACTTGGTAAGAATTTTTTTTTTTTTTCAAAATGAGTATTGTTACCTTAGCTCAGCACTGCATTTAAATTGTTTTTTGTTACAATAGGTCTCACTTGGACTATTTGGATAGTTCAGTACTCCATGTGGTAAGGTGGAATTGCACTAATAAAATCAAGCAGCAAGCACATTTCATCTGCCATTTTGTGCTCTCAGTGCTTCATAATTAATTTTAGCCTAAAATTACCCCTTTAAGCCCAAGGGATTAATTCTCCTTTAACTATATTTGTGCATTATAGAAAAAACAGCCATCCCCTGTTTCCTGGCCTTGGATTAGCAATTTACTGCATTTTCAACCTGCAATATCTGTGGAGGAATTCCAGGTGTGTTCTTGCCTCTCATGGAGTGAATTTCATGCTGTCTGACTTCTTTTTATTTAACTCTGGGAACAGAAATTCCCTAGAGCAGGTTTCCAAGCTGCAGCACGACCTGGACATTGGTACTTAAGACAGTTCTGCTCCAACCCCACCCCGTCCCCAGCCTCCAGCACTTGGCACTTTAACAGCATCCTCCTGATACTTTTATCTTACATTTCACCTTTTAATCCCTTCCCCTCAAACTATTTCCTTCTTCCTTCTTCTGGCTAGTCCAGCCTTTATCCCTCACCTCTGCAGAGTGCTGATCTGGTGTTTGATGGACAACTTCTGTTTGCATCTCTGGCATGTGTTTGTTTTTTGGAGGAATGTAAATAGAAAAAGGCAGGTGATTCCTGCCAATGTCAAGGAGAGGTTCTCAAGGCAGCCTCTTGACAAGTTACTCGGGTGCTACTCAAATAATCCAGTGAGAAAAGGTCATATTGAATTTAACTTTTATACATAAGCAATCACATTACCATATGTCAAAGGCACCAACCTGCTTTAAAAAGCGTCAATGCAGATGAGTACAAATATTTCAATGTCCAAACAAATCTCCCAAGCCCTCCCCCTAAACTATTTTGGGACGATACCAGATGGTAATACTAAACATCCTAAGTATTTAAAATTAATTTGGATTTGTTTGCTTTCCTTTTTACAGCTTTTGACCAGTTTGGAACCCAACAAACACAATTACCTTAAATATGTACAAACATGAAGAAGTTGACAAAAGTAAATCAAAAATTTATCAGCCATCACTAGTTTTTAGGTCCCTATTAAAGAATATTCCAGAGCCTAGGTGGGAAACATGAGCTGTTAATTACACTGTGCATTAAACAAGATATTAATGAGCTCTGGCATTCCTGCCACAGTGGACACTGAGCAGGAATGTTTTAGAGCTTGTGAGTCTGTCTGCTGCAAAGTCCAGTGCTGGCTCAAATAAGCACAAAAGCAATTTCTGGAGCCTTGAGAGGGGTGTAGCATGTCAGGAAAAGGCTGTGCACATATTCCCACTGGGATTCTCTCTGAAACCACTGCAGAAGTGTTTTAAAAAGTGAGTGAAGAGGATGACCAGGATGATGAGCACCTGAAAGAGCAGCTGATTTAGCAATATAGCTGAATTATGGAAACCATTCACCAGCCAAAGGGACAGAAAGTCTGGTGAGAACAAGTGTCCTGTCAGCTGTGGTGACACCCAGGTGTGACTGAAGGTCTTGGGGAGATGAGTGGCACGTCCTGCCAAGAAATCAGTCTGTCTGTCCTGCCAGGGAATCAGTCTCTCTGTCTGTCTGTCCTGCCAGGGAATCAGTCTGTCTGTCCAGGAGAGGAGGAAGGCAAGGAGGACATGACTTCCAGGTGTGACAGTGTAGGAATATAAAAAGGTAAAAGATTTTAGAAAGTGCAAAAAGCCCCCAGAAAGTAGACATAAAGCTGAGAAAGGATGGGAAATTTCAAAACCTTCTCATGGAAAGCTAGGAAAATAAGAACCAAGTGAATACATTTATATTTATAATAAGGAACAAGAATAAACAAGAACTTATTGATAGTTAGAGATGTGAAAAGTCCTAGATATATGCTTTGCAAAGACAGAAAAAGTTTCAATCTTATATAATGAATTATTGTGTATTATTTGAGGTTCATACAAGTCCTTTTGTTAATGTAAAACCCACGTGGGTCCTTTTCTTATTGGTTAGAGTACAATGACTTTGCACCTTTTCTTTTATGCTGTTGGTTCAAAGAATATGCAGAAGAAGGCTTTGCATCTTGTCTCTGATCTGGATTTGCATGGATGTTTGTTTCTCTGTGTCTCTTGCTTTTTGCTTGTCTGATACAGACAGATAATAAATCCTAATTCTGCAAGCAGTCAGGGCCCCATCCCATTTGTGAGACAGGGACCGAGCAGCTGCTCTCCTCTCTTTGTGACACCAACAATCCCTGCCACCTCATTTTGAAATCCAACAAAAGAACCGGAGTGGGCACTGACAAGAGCAAAGGGAGAAGTTACCAAACTGATCATAATCCTTGGTTTAGGAGAAAAATGGGGGCTGTGGTGCCTGGGGGCATCTGCGGCAGCTGAATGTGCACTTTCCAGCGGAGAAGTTCAGCCTAAGCAGAAAGGAAAGCACTATTTATTGCAGAAAAAGGTCTTTTAGAGGCAAGCCAGCTACTGAGTGTGTGATTTCACTGCTGCTTTCCCTGCAATGTGTGCCAGCTCGGGGCCCATCTCTCCCAGCCCCATTTCACTGCAGCATCTTTGTAAATAGGCAAAAAGGACACCTTATGCACACACTCTGCTATCAAAATAGGAAGGAAGGAAAAAATCTCCCCTCAGAGTAAGATTATTTTCACTATTAACTCGGTACTGCCCCCAAAAGGCACCGTTTTACCTAAGAATCAGCCAGTGATCCAACATGTAGAGAGAGATGGATGGATCTTGGTCTGGGGAGCAGTAGAGCATTTGTTCTTGGAAAACCTTGCTTTCCCTACACACTGCCACCACTGGCTCTTTTCTCCTCAGGATGCTGTAAAAACATTTGGTTTTGCCAAGATAAACTTGTCAGAAGCACACAAAGTATTTTAGGACTTTCTGGGACTTTTTTCCCTCCCAGGGAAATTCTATTCAATAATTTTCCTTTAAAAAAAAAATACAAAAGCCACAACAGATTTTAAAGGATTTTTTTCACCCAGTCCACTAATTTGAAAGGAAATCAGATACCTAACAAATCTCCACATAAAACAAGTGAAATAACAACATGAATTTAAAGCAGATCAAATCTACTGAATCAATCCCTTGCATGGATACTGTCATTAATTCATTTCAATTTCATTTAGTTTAATTTGCTTTGGAACAGAAGCACAGTCAATCAGATTAAGGGTCTTTCAATTAATATTTTTCTCCTCCAGTATGACTGCACTTACTTGGCTTTTCCCCTCGTTCCCATTTTAGAAAAGTCTTAAATAATCACAAACTTGGATCTAAATCTTACATCCCTTTTGTACTACTCAAAATGTGGTTTTGTAAATTTTGGTTCTTGTAAATTTTAGAGATGTTATTGGGTATTTTAACCATGATCTTGCAGGTTTTTTTGGTTTTTGTTTTAAGATGAAAATGTCAGTCAACATAGGATGTGCCAGAAAGCCTTTGTCACCTGGAAGTCACCTAGAAATCCATTTGCTGGCGCCTTTCCTTGGCTTTTCCAGGGAAATGAGAGCCTTGCCTCACCACACCTTTCCTCACATCTCTTTTTCCCCACACCAGCCCTTGGAGCTGCCCTGCCAGCTGCATGTCAGAGTGAGCCAAGACCACATTTCCTCTTTTTTTAAAGGAAGCAGACCCAAACTGGGGAAAGCACGAGGCAGGGTTAAAGTCACTGCCTGGAGGAAGAGAACAAACTTTCATAACAAACCCAATCACGCCTCCACTGCTCCTGCTGTCTGACAGATGATCCAGAGTGGGAAACTGGAACAATTAAAGGGTTTCCTGGGGGAAACCGAAAGGTAGAGACAGACCCAAGGGAAGGCAGATTCTTCATCTTCCCTGGTGACCTAGCTGGGCCATAAGTATCCCTGGTATCAGAGCAGGGAATCCATGAGAGGTTCTCTCTCTCAGCCCCCTGAATCTGCAGGAAATCAGCAACGCTCGTGCTCAACTTCAGCTGGCTCAGGATTGCTCCTTCCCCAGCACTTTCCAGCAAAGGAGAGTTGGCAGCCCAAGATTTAAAGCCAAAATGTTCTTCTCCATTTATTTATTTATAGTATTTTTCTCTCTCTTTTTCTAAGGAGGGGTGATTTGAGTTATTGAGGCAAACCCCTACAGCACTCTTGGTCAGAAGACATCAGGAGATTCAGCCAATAATTTTTTAGGCCATATGATCAGTATCTTTCCAGTGACTAGTTATTCAAGTTAACCTGTAGTGCCACACATTTTTTAAAAATTATTTTAAAAAATAAAGTAAATACAACACCCAACCTTAGCTTGAGGGCAGAGCTGGCTCCCAGGAGCTGTGCTGTTTATTCCTCCATGGCACACAGCAAGTGGCACCTCTGCAAGTGCCAGCAGTTACACATGTGCACAGCTGTGAGGGTTTGCAATTCTGCAAGTCAGATAATACTGGAGAGCATTATCCTTTTGCTTGCTGCTACTCTCTCTGATCCTGCACAGCCTTCAGCACCTCCCTGCACAACCAGGAAGAGGTTACTCTATTTTTCTTTTCCAAATGCTGAGCCCAGGGTATGCAGAGCATATCGCAGAGCAGAAATGCTGCTCTCATGACCTGTGATTGCCTTTAGTTTAGTCATATCACATGTAAATAATATCTCTTCCATGGCATCCTCTCGTGTGATGCCTTCCAACGAGAACCCCCAAGCTCTTATGCAAAAGCAGGAATGATGCCCAGCAGTAAGCACAACTCCAACAAGGCTTCACTGAGTTAACATTAAACCATATTCCAATGTTTACCTTAGTTCCTTGAAGGGGTCTGCCCTGACATTGGGAGTTTCTATAGATTTAGGGAACACTGTGCCTTCTGCTCCTGAAATCACAAAACAAAACAGAAGACAAATTGTAAACATTATGAGCTGTTATCAGGGGAGTGATTGTCAAATCATACCTAGGTGCAATTTAACCCATTGCCTGACCCCATGTCTTTCTAGCACATCCCTTCTGTTCCCAGAAAAGCCAGACCTTATCATTTTCAATGGGTTGCCTTGATCACACGTGGGGTTTGCCTGTAAACTGCACTTCTGGCTGGAAAAGTTGGTGTTTGCACCCCAACTTGGGGAGAGTCTGCTGGCCCAGCTGATGCAGGGAGCTTGGAAAAGATACCCTTTGCTAACCAGGCATCTAATCCAGCTACATCCCCCATGGAAGAACCTGGATGCATGTCACCACATCATTTATTTTGTTGGGCTCTCAGAGATACTCAAGGGAGAAAAGCAGATTTTGACTTTTCCCCAGGCTGTGCTCCTGCCTGGGGAAAAGGAGGGAGCTGCACCCTCATGCAGAGCAGCACAAGCAGACTCTGCCCCAGTCCCAGCCTGGCCACCAGTCCAGTGTGTGACCCAGAAATTATTTAACTTCTGCTCATTCCCTCTTCTTTCAGAGACAATGGGGAAGCTGCACTGCCCCATTTGCTGACTGTGAACTGCTGAGTACCACAAACAGCTTGTCTAAGTTCCAGACCACTGCAATCCTCTTCATGGCCACCTGCACAGCCCAGCTGGGCCACTTCACCCAGCCATCCCTGAACTGGGTCCATATTTTGTGATCAACCCCTGCTCTCTCTTCTCTAGAAAGATGAGCTCTCCTCAATATCTTTGCTGTAAGCCAAAGCCCTGCCACCCTCTGGCAACCCTCTCCACTGACTGTTCTCATTTAAAATGTGCATTTAATCCAAAATGGTCTCAATTCATCTTCAGCCACTGAATATTCTTGAGTCCTCGTGTGCCACCCAGACTCGCATGAGGAGACTTTAGTCAGGCACTGATGGTGACCCAACCCCCCCAACCTGCTCTGATTCTCTGAGAAGTTCTGGGCTTTCTGAATCAATCACTATGAAGCAAATTTTTTGGACTTCTGTTTTGTTTTTTTTTGTTTGTTTGTTTGTTTTTTTTTCCCCTGAACCTGTTCTACTTTCAAAAGACTCTGTTGGAGCACAGGAGTCCCCAGGTGCTGTCACCGACTCTCTGCTGCAGAACATCACGTTCCTGCTCCCACTGAAACTTCCAATTAAAACACAGCTGAGAGTGGCACTAACTGCCTCACACACAGAGTGTGTGCACTATAAATTAATGTTCCTGTTCTCCAATATATAGCTGCCAAGCCAATGAGCAAGTATGACCTATATTCTAAAATTCAAACCTGTAGTCTTTCCTTCAGACACACTGTGAACAATTAGTCACTCTTTATCTGCAGTCATCACAGCAATTTCAGTGTCAGCATGCAGACAGCGCTGGTGGTGTTTTTTTATTTCTTTAGATTTTAGACTGATAAAGTTATTGGTGCAAACTACAGATCCTGATGAAAACTTTTACATGTACAGTTTGAAAGCATTCCTAACTAACACTGCGATTGTAACTGTTCCCTGTGTTAGTTTGAAAGTCATCATTACAGAATAACAGATGTTCTGAGATGGTCCAAAACATGTCAAGACAATATCCTGCTGTAACTGCTGCCATAAGTGAGAAACACCTATGACTGCAGTATGACTACACTTTCTTTGCACTGAAATAAATTAACTAAGCTGTCCCAATGTGTTAAAGAAAAAAAAATCAGAATGAAAACAGGCAGTCTAACATTTATAAAAAAACTAACCAACTCTTTTTAACCCAGAAAAAAACAAAGTAAACTCAAAGATGATAAAAGCAGCCTAAAGTTTGAAGGTTTATACTTGGGGATTGAGGCTGATCCTATGGCACAATACAGATATTGAGCTTTTAACCTTACTATAAGCTTTCATTGTTACAAGTTGTCATAAGCAGCTGAAACTTGCCAACCATGAAGGTTGTTACTATCAGATCTGTCCTCTCTCAACAGTTTCCAAATGATTTAAATCTCTGCTTTATCCAACACGATTGCCTTGGCTCTTGGCTTTGCAATGAAATGTAGCAAAACATCCAGCCTGCACTTATCTGCATAATAAAACAGTGATTTTTGAGGGAAGGAGGATGAGAAGGTTCAGCTGGAGAGATGCACAGAGATATTCTTGTACCCCTTCCACACACATGGCTTAAATGGTGACTTTATGCTGGGCATTTAAATTAATTTTTAGACACCTTAAATTGGATACTCAAGTCATACAAGCTCAAAATAACTACCTGCCTGTAACCAGAAGTGTGTGCAGAATTAGGAGAAACTTTAACTTATTTCTAAACTTGGGGTTTTACAGGCTTTCATTTTTTTAGTTTAAATGCAAGAAGCAATTTTGGAAACAAGGTCAATGAAAACCTCAATGCAGTAATTTCAAGAAGGTTGAAAATGAAAGAGTTGGGTATTCGTTTCCTCCCTTTTTTTGTTTTCCCTTCCCTACACAGTTCTCAAACCCTCTTTTCCTGTCTCTCTTCTTGCCAGATCCATTAAAAAGTCCCTCATGCACTGGGAACAGGAATGAGATTTCCAAAACCTTCTGTTTCTCTCCTTTGATCCGAATTTGAAGTGAATGCTACCTGCCTTGATAAGGTTTTCTGCTTTGACTGTATAATTCATATTCTTCTTTAATAACACAGAATCCCCCAAAGGGCCACCTGTCTGTCACTGAGCAGGACATCAGCCACGAGGGGATGCTGAGGGACCAGGACTGAGACATCCCTCCCTTGGCTCTGGCTGCCAGCAGCTGAGGGCCCCTTGAGTTGGCAGAGAAAGTTTATCAGAAACACTGATTAACTTCCCTCACCTCACCTAATCCTCATCCTAATTGTCCCCCTTTCTAGCAGGGGGCTCTGATGGATGAATTAAACACTCTGGGGAAGTTCTCCCTTTGGTTTCACCCCACTGCCTGATTATTTCAGTAAAGAACCATCCTCTTCTTTCTGTGCTATTGGGAATTTTCTGGACTTCAAACATGCCCCCTCCCTCCAGCCCCCTCTATTCCGTGCTGGAGCTTCTCAATCTCTGCCTGTGGGATCAGCAGTTCCCAAAGGGAAAAACTGCCTTGGATTAATTCAGTTCCACTGGACATTTGTGTCAAAGTTTGGCTTCTGGCCCCTGTGGAAGTCCCAGCCAGGCTCTGACAGCACCAGTGTAGGATGGTATTGAAAGTGAAGGCTGGAGGAAGTGACCTCATTTAGTGGTTTTAGTATCACGAATCACTTATGTTGGAAAAAACTCTGCAGATCATGGAATCCCACTGTGACTCAAGGCTTTGGCAAAAAAACGAAGGAAAGTTTGAGGGAAATGTGCTGTTGTCACTGAATTGGGTTATTCCAGCTCTGCTGAAGGAAACTGGGATGTTACAGGGTAGCAAATGGTTGAAAATATGAAGTCCAAGGTCATGTGCTTAGAAAGCAGTAAAAATTTCTTCTACATGTTGGAGGCTTCCAAGATATAATATCCCTGGATAAAAGCTGAATGCTGCTCGTGATTCATGGCAGTGAGAGAGTCAAAGTCAACATTAAACTGAAAGGCAAGAAGAAAGTCTAAAAGGAACACAAAATAAAAAGGAAACCGCATTATTTTAAGAATCATCAGTGAATCCCCAAACTATTGTGTGCCCCCCCTGCTCATCCCCAGAGAGGAAAAACTGTCATGACTGCACAAACAGAAATCTGTCCTACAAAAGAAGCCTGGAAGGACTTGGCTGTGTGGCTGAGCAGCATGATGTGCTGAGGAAGGATACTCATGCTGTGCATAAACACATCAGAGGGTAAATAACAGCAAGGGAAGAGAACCATTGGCTCCAAGCCCATGTTTATATGGGAGCCAGTGCTCAGATGAGTGTGGCAGCAGCTCTCTGGCCACAGAGAGCAGGCACAGACTTTCTCATGAAAGGCTGTGAGAAGATCAGAGAAAGGGATTAGAAACAATTCTTCTCTCCCCTTGTTGCACCTGCTGTTGTGCACATGTGGAATGTGTTATGGAGGTTTATTTACCAAAGGGTGATTTGTTAATTGGACACTGGATGGCGTTTGCATGGCTTGGCCAATTAGGCCAAAGCTGTACTGGACTGGCTGCAAGGGTTACTGAGTTTTTTAGTTAAATATAGGATAATATAGTATTAGGATGAGATAATAAAGCAATTGATCAGCCTTCTGCAATCATTAAGTCTATGCTAATTATCACCCAGCTGGGGGCCTGTGACAACAAGATGAGTGGCAGTGAACTGGTCTTGAGTGTATCTGGGAAGGAAAGTGAGGGTTTTCTAGCCAAAAGAGGAATGGGAGCAGCTTTTCAGATAGATGGGACAGACAGTATGAAATATCTGACTAATTTCTGACTGGAAGATGTGGTGTCTCAGAACCAAGGGGCAGTATTCTCAGGACCAGCAATTTCCTTCTAGTCTAGCATTCCTTTAGTCTTATTTTCACTGTCCTCTACCTGAGAAATGATGGGTTTTGGTAAATGGTATTAACAGCTCCAACAGTTCAAGAATCAGCTGTTACAATTTCCCTTTTCAATCAAAGCTGCTCCATCCCTCTTCCTCTTTTACTGAGTATAAAGCTAATGTAACCTACATTTATTATTGTACAACAAAGTTTCTGCTTCCTGAATTATCTGTTATTAAAACATTTTCTATCTGCCATGAAAAACACATACAGAAAATTTCTATTTCATTGCAAAGTACTAATTTTTTTCTTCATCATATGAGACTCTCTGCTGCTGCTAAGGGTAACTTAGGTGAAATTAGCCAAAGACAGAAGAAAACAGTAATATCATTAGGATTTAAACACACTGTACTGTACATCCCTAGGCAATAAATTATTCTTTCTCACAGTATTATATCAGAGAGGCTTCTATTATACTGATTCCCTCTTCTGACACTGTGTAATTTACCACCGATAAATGTTCATAAACAGTTTGACTGAAAAATCCATAAAG